GATGCGGATATCAAAAGAGCTCTGATTTGAAACAAGTGTCAAAAATGCTGGTGCCCAGGTAGATGAAGGAGTAGATCACTGCATCAACACAACCAATTTACTTTACAAACGGTATTCAATTTTGTATGAGCGGATCTGAGCAATTAAAAAAACATAACTGTAGTTCTTAGTTCAGAAATTGCGAATGATAAAAAATAAAAAAAAGATGCGGATATCAAAAGAGCTCTGATTTGAAACAAGTGTCAAAAATGCTGGTGCCCAGGTAGATGAAGGAGTAGATCACTGCATCAACACAACCAACTTACTTTACAAACGGTGTTCAATTTTGTATGAGCGGATCTGAGCAATTAAAAAAACATAACTGTAGTTCTTAGTTCAGAAATTGCGAATGATAAAAAATAAAAAAAGATGCGGATATCAAAAGAGCTTTAATTTGAAACAAGTGTCAATAATGCTGCTGCCCAGGTAGATGAAGGAGTAGATCACTGCATCAACACAACCAATTTACTTTACAAACGGTGTTCAATTTTGTATGAGCGGATCTGAGCAATTAAAAAAACATAACTGTAGTTCTTAGTTCAGAAATTGCGAATGATAAAAAAAAAAAGATGCGGATATCAAAAGAGCTCTGATTTGAAACAAGTGTCAAAAATGCTGGTGCCCAGGTAGATGAAGGAGTAGATCACTGCATCAACACAACCAACTTACTTTACAAACGGTGTTCAATTTTGTATGAGCGGATCTGAGCAATTAAAAAAACATAACTGTAGTTCTTAGTTCAGAAATTGCGAATGATAAAAAATAAAAAAAAGATGCGGATATCAAAAGAGCTCTGATTTGAAACAAGTGTCAAAAATGCTGGTGCCCAGGTAGATGAAGGAGTAGATCACTAGATCAACACAACCAACTTACTTTACAAACGGTGTTCAATTTTGTATGAGCGGATCTGAGCAATTAAAAAAACATAACTGTAGTTCTTAGTTCAGAAATTGCGAATGATAAAAAATAAAAAAAAGATGCGGATATCAAAAGAGCTCTGATTTGAAACAAGTGTCAAAAATGCTGGTGCCCAGGTAGATGAAGGAGTAGATCACTGCATCAACACAACCAACTTACTTTACAAACGGTGTTCAATTTTGTATGAGCGGATCTGAGCAATTAAAAAAACATAACTGTAGTTATTAGTTCAGAAATTGCGAATGATAAAAAATAAAAAAAAGATGCGGATATCAAAAGAGCTCTGATTTGAAACAAGTGTCAAAAATGCTGGTGCCCAGGTAGATGAAGGAGTAGATCACTGCATCAACACAACCAACTTACTTTACAAACGGTGTTCAATTTTGTATGAGCGGATCTGAGCAATTAAAAAAACATAACTGTAGTTCTTAGTTCAGAAATTGCGAATGATAAAAAATAAAAAAAAGATGCGGATATCAAAAGAGCTCTGATTTGAAACAAGTGTCAAAAATGCTGGTGCCCAGGTAGATGAAGGAGTAGATCACTGCATCAACACAACCAACTTACTTTACAAACGGTGTTCAATTTTGTATGAGCGGATCTGAGCAATTAAAAAAACATAACTGTAGTTATTAGTTCAGAAATTGCGAATGATAAAAAATAAAAAAAAGATGCGGATATCAAAAGAGCTCTGATTTGAAACAAGGGTTAAAAATGCTGGTGCCCAGGTAGATGAAGGAGTAGATCACTGCATCAACACAACCAATTTACTTTACAAACGGTGTTCAATTTTGTATGAGCGGATCTGAGCAATTAAAAAAACATAACTGTAGTTCTTAGTTCAGAAATTGCGAATGATAAAAAATAAAAAAAAGATGCGGATATCAAAAGAGCTCTGATTTGAAACAAGTGTCAAAAATGCTGGTGCCCAGGTAGATGAAGGAGTAGATCACTGCATCAACACAACCAATTTACTTTACAAACGGTATTCAATTTTGTATGAGCGGATCTGAGCAATTAAAAAAACATAACTGTAGTTCTTAGTTCAGAAATTGCGAATGATAAAAAATAAAAAAAAAGATGCGGATATCAAAAGAGCTCTGATTTGAAACAAGTGTCAAAAATGCTGGTGCCCAGGTAGATGAAGGAGTAGATCACTGCATCAACACAACCAACTTACTTTACAAACGGTGTTCAATTTTGTATGAGCGGATCTGAGCAATTAAAAAAACATAACTGTAGTTCTTAGTTCAGAAATTGCGAATGATAAAAAATAAAAAAAGATGCGGATATCAAAAGAGCTCTAATTTGAAACAAGTGTCAATAATGCTGCTGCCCAGGTAGATGAAGGAGTAGATCACTGCATCAACACAACCAATTTACTTTACAAACGGTGTTCAATTTTGTATGAGCGGATCTGAGCAATTAAAAAAACATAACTGTAGTTCTTAGTTCAGAAATTGCGAATGAAAAAAAAATGCGGATATCAAAAGAGCTCTGATTTGAAACAAGTGTCAAAAAAGCTGGTGACCAGGTAGATGAAGGAGTAGATCACTGCATCAACACAACCAATTTACTTTACAAACGGTGTTCAATTTTGTATGAGCGGATCTGAGCAATTAAAAAAACATAACTGTAGTTCTTAGTTCAGAAATTGCGAATGATAAAAAATAAAAAAAGATGCGGATATTAAAAGAGCTCTGATTTGAAACAAGTGTCAATAATGCTGGTGCCCAGGTAGATGAAGGAGTAGATCACTGCATCAACACAACCAATTTACTTTACAAACGGTGTTCAATTTTGTATGAGCGGATCTGAGCAATTAAAAAAACATAACTGTAGTTCTTAGTTCAGAAATTGCGAATGAAAAAAAAATGCGGATATCAAAAGAGCTCTGATTTGAAACAAGTGTCAAAAAAGCTGGTGACCAGGTAGATGAAGGAGTAGATCACTGCATCAACACAACCAATTTACTTTACAAACGGTGTTCAATTTTGTATGAGCGGATCTGAGCAATTAAAAAAACATAACTGTAGTTCTTAGTTCAGAAATTGCGAATGATAAAAAATAAAAAAAGATGCGGATATTAAAAGAGCTCTGATTTGAAACAAGTGTCAATAATGCTGGTGCCCAGGTAGATGAAGGAGTAGATCACTGCATCAACACAACCAATTTACTTTACAAACGGTGTTCAATTTTGTATGAGCGGATCTGAGCAATTAAAAAAACATAACTGTAGTTCTTAGTTCAGAAATTGCGAATGATAAAAAATAAAAAAAAGATGCGGTTATCAAAAGAGCTCTGATTTGAAACAAGTGTCAATAATGCTGGTGCCCAGGTAGATGAAGGAGTAGATCACTGCATCAACACAACCAATTTACTTTACAAACGGTGTTCAATTTTGTGTGAGCGGATCTGAGCAATTAAAAAAACATAACTGTAGTTCTTAGTTCAGAAATTGCGAATGATTAAAAAAAAAGATGCGGATATCAAAAGAGCTCTGATTTGAAACAAGTGTCAATAATGCTGGTGCCCAGAGAGATGAAGGAGTAGATCACTGCATCAACACAACCAATTTACTTTACAAACGGTGTTCAATTTTGTATGAGCGGATCTGAGCAATTAAAAAAACATAACTGTAGTTCTTAGTTCAGAAATTGCGAATGATAAAAAATAAAAAAAGATGCGGATATCAAAAGAGCTCTAATTTGAAACAAGTGTCAATAATGCTGGTGCCCAGGTAGATGAAAGAGTAGATCACTGCATCAACACAACCAATTTACCTTACAAACGGTGTTCAATTTTGTATGAGCGGATCTGAGCAATTAAAAAAACATAACTGTAGTTCTTAGTTCAGAAATTGCGAATGATAAAAAATAAAAAAAATGCGGATATCAAAAGAGCTCTGATTTGAAACAAGTGTCAATAATGCTGGTGCCCAGGTAGATGAAGGAGTAGATCACTGCATCAACACAACCAATTTACTTTACAAACGGTGTTCAATTTTTTGTATGAGCGGATCTGAGCAATTAAAAAAACATAACTGTAGTTCTTAGTTCAGAAATTGCGAATGATAAAAAATAAAAAAAAAGATGCGGATATCAAAAGAGCTCTGATTTGAAACAAGTGTCAATAATGCTGGTGCCCAGGTAGATGAAGGAGTAGATCACTGCATCAACACAACCAATTTACTTTACAAACGGTGTTCATTTTTGTATGAGCGGATCTGAGCAACTAAAAAAACATAACTGTAGTTCTTAGTTCAGAAAATGCGAATGATAAAAAATAAAAAAAAGATGCGGATATCAAAAGAGCTCTGGTTTGAAACAAGTGTCAATAATGCTGGTGCCCAGGTAGATGAAGGAGTAGATCACTGCATCAACACAACCAATTTACTTTACAAACGGTGTTCAATTTTGTATGAGCGGATCTGAGCAATTAAAAAAACATAACTGTAGTTCTTAGTTCAGAAATTGCGAATGATAAAAAAAAAAGATGCGGATATCAAAAGAGCTCTGATTTGAAACAAGTGTCAATAATGCTGGTGCCCAGGTAGATGAAGGAGTAGATCACTGCATCAACACAACCAATTTACTTTACAAACGGTGTTCAATTTTGTTTGAGCGGATCTGAGCAATTAAAAAAACATAACTGTAGTTCTTAGTTCAGAAATTGCGAATGATAAAAAATAAAAAAAAGATGCGGATATCAAAAGAGCTCTAATTTGAAACAAGTGTCAATAATGCTGGTGCCCAGGTAGATGAAGGAGTAGATCACTGCATCAACACAACCAATTTACTTTACAAACGGTGTTCAATTTTGTATGAGCGGATCTGAGCAATTAAAAAAACATAACTGTACTTCTTAGTTCAGAAATTGCGAATGATAAAAAATAAAAAAAGATGCGGATATCAAAAGAGCTCTAATTTGAAACAAGTGTCAATAATTGCTATCACTTGTAAATTTAGAAAACTATGAATAAAATTTGGAGCAAAGCATGTTTGGAAAAGGATGGAACAAGTTAAAATGTGTACATCACTGACCAGTGTACCCATAGAGCAAATACTCCTGTCCGAGCCAGTACTTGAGTGCATACACATGGGCCACTATGTTGAGGATGAAGCCCAACTTGACCAAAGGGTAGCAAAATGTGAGCAGATTTCCGAAGCTGTGGCCCACTCTCAGTCTGGACAAGAAGAGGACTGACTTGGAGGATTGATCTTTCTGCAACTCCAGATAGCGATCAATGTGGAGCGCTGAAATTATCCAGCAATAAATTTTACATAATCAGAGAGAAAAACTATCTTCATTATTTTATTATACTCGGTTGCCATAACTATTTTTTTTTATTATTTAGCTGCTTACTCTGCAAGAAGTATTTGCTTTTTTCTACAACTTTTCAGTGGAAACATCATTTTGCTTAATTTTCATCTTCGATAACTCTTTAGTTTCGTCAAATCGCAGAAGATCTATCAAAGGCATTTAAGCCTGTCTGAAAACAGTTCATTTCTTTTGACTCCCAAAAAATAATTACCAGACTGCGTTCTTTTATTCAACTAAGCTTTTTTTGTGAGCCAGTGCCGTTTTTTTGCGACCAGACTTTTTGCAAGGCATCGCTTTTGAAGCCTTTTGAGGTGAGCTTCGGTAGATTAGAAGCTAGAGTCCCCATATTTATAATGACAGGGGGTCGAATACTCAATCGTACGATCTCACAGCGAGCGCCTTACACTATGTTAAATTGCTCATACAAATGGCGGATGTAGAAATAATGACACACTTTTGATACAACAATTACTGAAACCTCTAAAGTGATTGTAATCAGACGCTATTCACCTATGTTTTGGATGAGGTCATTCCACTTGTTTGAGTTGACAGATGTCTCAAATTTGGAGGCAGTCTCAACCACCTGTTCGAAGTCCACTCCTGCCGAAGTGTACACAGCACGCCACACGAAGTGGGGAAAGGCGAACGACACGGCCTGAAAGAGACAGAAACAGGTTGTTAGGAAGGAGCTAAGCTCGAGTTTTTTATGTAAGCTACTTCAAAACTCGCTCAAAATTGAATTTTAAGAGGGCAGTTTGTGTACATTTGCGATATTTGCAAAAAAAAGCTCGAGATCTGCAAAATATCTAAAAATTGTAATAGACTTTAACCTTATATTCAAGGAACACATTGAAAAATATGATAAAGAAATAACTTCGAAGTTTGTGTCTATGTTTTATCGACTGAGATTTTAAAGCGCCCTTCCCTCAGAGATTTGACCATCCTTGACCGCCCTAAAGGCCCTCCCTACGGCAGTATTTAACGATATCATTGTTTAAAAAATTACTTTGTTCAAAAACGGTCTTTATTAAGTTTTGAAAGATAAAAAGGATAAAATGATCGACCTTATTTTTGAAAATATCTCTCCTCTCGTCGAGAAAATTCTAGATGCGAGCCTGTTTTTGAAATCTATGGAAGATTGCTCTACACATGTTTATCAAAATGGTTTTTTTATATGAAGCAGCAATCAAAATAGATTTATAGTAACTGGAAAAAACCAACGTCTTGTTTCAAATTGGTTCAAACTGAGCAACTTATTTCAAATTTTGTAGTGATAATGATAAATTCAAGACAATATATAAAAGAAAATGGCAGAATTGCGAAATGATTATTTGGAGCGTAAAAACAATAAGAATACTTGTATCAAGGCAAAGCTCCGAGTGTTCCAACTGTCATTCAAAGTCTAAAACTAAACTGTCTTTTAAAAATTTTACCAACTAAAAAGAAAGTTTTTGTAATTATTTTACTCTGCCAAAAGAAATGTTCTTCCAAATTTTCAATATTTACTTTTTTTGCCAAAAAATGCTTTTAAAATAAATTATAAGCTTTATTCCAAATATAACAAAAAACAATCCATCTATTGAACATGAACTCATCACCTAATGTAATATATCACCCCTCTTTTCTGTATTCGAAAGTAAACAAAACGAACTTTTCCTATAAGTATACAAAAAAATTGAAATTTTGAAGAAATTACAAAATAGTTTTTAGATGTCAGTGTTTTGTCCGAAAGGACAATAAACAGGGATTTTCTACACAAAAAAATCCAGAGTGTAAATAGCAATTACCACACAGATAAACTAAATTTGCGCATTTACCATGTAAATTAATATTTCAATTTTTACACAAAAATATAAACAAAAAACTAAAAAAACTGAATTCTTGTATAGGTCTAGAAACATTAAAATTATAAAAATGGGGATGACAAAATGACCTATATTTAAAAAAGTTTCCTAAGTGATTTTGGGGGACTTTTTATTCCTGAAAACTGCTTTTTAAACTATTTTTTTTTTCATTGTTAATCGATTGACACGTTTTTTTTTTCAATAAACTCCGTTTGAAAATTTGTACGATAAGCTTTTCTCTTGTATGGAAATCAACCCGGGAAAAAAAAACAAATCAACTTGCTTCAAATCAAATTGCAATATTTTAATGAAGAGTTTTTTTTATAAATATATACCCCATTATTATATAGTTCTCATATAAAACATTAAAGATATCAACTTTTAAAGATTTTTTAACTTCTGATTGTTTTTCGCGATGTTCTGGGAGCTTAAAAATTGCCAATTTGGCCATGCTCTGAACTAATTTATCATAATGCTGAAAACATAACGCGATTTATCCCGCACTACAAAAAATGTTCCTAATTGAACTGAGCCTAGCTAATTGGTCTTATTAATTTTGAATGACTAATCTTTTCTCATTTGATCTTATTTTGTCCAAATTTTATAGTTTTCCAAATTTTTACTTTTACCAAAAACCATTCGAGGCCAATTATAGGGATAGGGCAGACGGGACATTCAGGGCCCTGATATACGAGCAGTTTCATTTGACAATTTTCAGTCTTTAGTTTTCGAGCGTTAGTTATTCTAAGTTGGCCAAAAGTACATTAATGTTCCAACTTTTGTAACAAAAGTAACGGAACATTTGTGCTCGGGGTGGGTTTTTTTTCTTCAGACAAATTGTGGAGTGATTTCTTAAACGGATTAAATTTCCGTTTACGCGTTAATAGTGCAAAATATATCGGGCGTTAATTGTCCCAAATTGACCAAAATGGCAATCTTTAAAGCGCAAAAACTTCTCGAAAAATGATCACAGGTGAAATATCTTTTCAAATTTAAGTTGAAGGCAACAAAACTTTTCAAATGATTTATAAAATCCCGTCAAAAATGGCTAATTAAAAAGTCGAAATTTGTCTGAAGAAAAAACCGACCCCTACCACAAATATTCCGTTACTTTTGTTACAAAAGTCGGAACAATAAATGAACCATTTGACATTTTTATTATCACTACAACTGCAGAATAGTGGAACGAAACAATGTAGCAGTGTAATACTCGAAAAAGTGTGAGAGCTCGGCATACAAAAACCATACCCATTAAAAATATCTACGATCAGTGCTTTGTGGGTCTCTCAGTGCTTTAACAGTTTTATCATAAAAATGTAAATGAACATCTCGAAACCAAAAAAAAATCTATTATTTTTTAAAAACCCTATGACTTTTGTCTACCTGAAGGAAGAGTATTAAAGGGGTCCACTGGTAGTACAGGATTGTCTTGGGAGGAACCTCGTCTATTGCGGGGTCATGATGGGAGTCCAAGGGGAGAAAGTATGTGTTGGATACCCAGCAGTAAGCATCTGCATAAGCGGAGCGCTGGCCGTCGAATTCATGAGGAGTGAAGCACACTATGGCGTCTCCCACGAACTGTCTGGTGGTCACTAGCACACCCAATACAATGAACAACAGTGTCGTGTACCTGTAGAAATAATGATATGAACAGTTTTCATTCTTAACAACTTCTTCAAGACAAGTCAATACACATTTTTTTTCTGATATAAGTAGAGATCCAGCCAAAAATTATAACTATACCAGTGACGTGCGTAAAAACATTTTAACGGTGCGGACTCTGTCAGTATTTCGAAGTTTGTTGTTTTTTTAGTGCTGGCTTCCACCACCACTCCTGTCTCCTGTGCGCTTTTTAAATTAAAAGCTTAACGGTCGGCCAGATATGGACGTCGTAAAAAAGTACTCTCACAAATGGTATCAACCTCTCACTGCCCTTCTGAATGACATAGCTAAAAACTCTCGCTTTATCTTAATGTACACAGAGGCGAAGCAGGGCTTCGCACCACTTGCGATACAATGCAACCATAAAATAAACATGAGCAGAAAAAAATGTTGAAAAAACTAGGTGAATCAAAGTTTTTCTATGTCTCGACGAAGGAAACCTAGGATCCAGCTAAAGCTGGAGGTATGTGTCTGATATTTTTTGAGTTTATCATACTGATGCGGGACGGAATACTTAATTTCGAAAATTGGACTGCGCCCAAAACCTTAGCTGTTTCTCTACAAAAATAAGTAACAAGAGTGAAAATTTTGGAGATAATGGTAGTTTTCCCAAATACATAACACTTCTCTCAAAAAACATTAGGGAGTAGCCTCTTCTGCAGGAAAAATCCGAGCAACTGCTTCTTCCGATTGAACTTTTCATCTCAGATTTGATAGGGTAGTTTTTAAGAAAATTCAAACAATTTCTAAAAAATTGTTCAAAGTTTAAATAGTTTCCGAAATCTATAATTTTTATTCTGCTAAAAGTAAGTTGTAGCCGGTTAAGTAGAGAAAATTCCCTAAATCAGGTCGCTCGATTGAACATTTAACCTCAGAATTGGCATGTTTATTTTCGAGTTATGTCAAAAAACTTCCAAAAACATTGAAAGTTTCAAAGTTCCACATGTTTGAAGGTCATAAGTTTTTTCTTACAAAAAAACTGGGCAGAGCAAGCAATAAAAGAAAGCCTCCAACAACCTGCAGTGTTGATTACACCTATGATATCAGATTTGGCGGTATAATTATTCAGAAAATTCCAAAAAACGGTCAACAAGTCAGAAAATTGACAGTTAAGAGAATCATAGCTTTTGTTCAAAAAATTTTGTGCATAGCCGTTTATGCAGAAAATATTCACTTAGCTTGAAATTTCGGCCAAACTCAAAAACCCAGATTTGACAAAATAATTCGAAAAACGGTCAAAAAATCAAAAGGTCACTATTCCGAACGCCATAATTTTATGTTTCAAAAAATTTGGGCGTAGCCGCTCATAGAGGAGGGTTTTCCATGTCCGCTCTCACAATGAAACCAGAATTAGTAGGTTGTTTTTTGAGAAAACGAAAGAAAAATCAAAATTATTGGTCAAATATTCCCCCACAGACTTTTTCAAAGGCTGTAGACCAATTGTTTAAACAAGAAGATACCAAGGAAACATGCAAGCACGTGAAAGTTTAATAGATCTTTCTATAGACACCCTCTTTTGAAAGTCGATTAGCAAATTACCAAAGCAAATAAAAAAATAAAAATAAAAACCCAATCTCTTACATTTTTTTATTACCTGTTTTTATCCAACGAAAATTCCAGGCAAACATGCAAAGCAAGACTTTTGAAATTCTACTTAGTAATTAAACTAAACTTAAGAAGCGGAAACTAGGCCGACAATCTTTGAGCAGACATCAAATGAGCCAAAAAAAAATTTGTAACAAAAACTTTAAAAGTTTCAGGTCCCCGTTGGAACTACTATGTAGTAACTAGTACCCACCCAATGGTTAAATTTGATGTGCCAGCTTCATTGCATCATCAAAATTGCCTATATGATCCTTATCAATTGAGCTTGAAATTGAATAGGTGATTCAATTGATTTTATTCAAATTGTTGTTAACCCAAAAAAGTCTTCATTCCGATTTGATAACGCTTGCTATTCGCAAGCGTAAATATTTCAGTAGCAGACAAGGCAGAAGCAACACAACTTAAAACCTTAAAACTCATAATAGGCTTAGGCCGCTTAGTAGAAATTAGGACCCCACTCCCATTAAATACCCCGCGGGTTCAAATTTGATATCTATTTACTACTTTCATTCAAGATCGACCAGTTCTGAATTTTTCCAAAGAAGCTTCTAGCGCCGACATTTGCTTATTGTGAACGCAGCTTCATGGTCAAAATTGAATAGGTGATTCAATTGATTTTATTCAAGTTGTTGTTAACCCAAAAAAGTCTTCATTCCGATTTGATAACGCTTGCTATTCGCAAGCGTAAATATTTAAGTAGCAGACAAGGCAGAAGCAACACAACTTAAAACCTTAAAACTCATAATAGGCTTAGGCCGCTTAGTAGAAATTAGGACCCCACTCCCATTAAATACCCCGCGGGTCCAAATTTGATATCTATTTACTACTTTCATTCAAGATCGACCAGTTCTGAATTTTTTCCAAAGAAGCTTCTAGCGCCGACATTTGCTTATTGTGAACGCAGCTTCATGGTCAAAACATTTCCCAAAAGTGTTCTTTAACATTCTTTTTGGTGAATTTAAGTGTTCAAAATTTCGTCTAGGTCGCAGAATGTTTCTGCGAAATAGAACATTAATAACGTTTGGGGAGTTCTCAAAAGAAACTTGTTTTTACCAAGAGCCCACTAAACTTTTCCTTTATAAAAAATGTATGCTGCCTCTCAAGAAAATCCAAGATCCGCCCCTGTCATCAGATTTTTGTTCCGACCATTGAAAATGAAAAGGAACTTTGTATTCGGATGTATTTTATTTTTGTTTCTTTTCTTTGTTTTACAAGCAAATCCAGGTACCACAAATAATCATCGTAATGGTTCGAGTGACTTATTAAAATAAAATCTATAGTCTTAAAGTCGTTAATCGAACAATTTCAAACCTTTTTCAAAAAATTATTCCAGTGTTGAGAAACACTGCTTTGAAATTTTAAAAATTTATTCGAAAACCGTAATATGAAAGTTTATTTTATAAAAAACTTTTTGAATAAAAAAACTTGATTTATCTATAGAAAAAACTAGATTGGGATGTCTGATTTAACTCTTATCTGACATGAGAAAGTTACAAAACATATTTGTTGTTATTTTTTACCATAAATGTTGTCGATCATGTCTACTTACTAATTTTCTACCCGACTCAAAAAAAATGACACTATTTTGAAGCAAAAAATAGAAACCTTTTTTTTATTTATGAATATAATCGGAACATTCAGTACTACTTGCACAGCAACCGGCTAGCCTTGCTTTATATTGCGTTTGCTCAAATACACAAAAACCTTAGAAATTGTTTGTCGTAATTAAAAAAAATAACCAAAAAGTTTCTTGAGAAACCGAAAAGCTGTAGGATGAAAATACTTCAATTTGTTGTTTCAATTTCTGTAAAATTTTCGGAAATTTTACGCTCTTTCACGGAAATTTTACGCTCAGAAGTTCCGTCCTGATACTGTACAAAATTTTAGAAAAGACGTGCTTCTTCAATATTTATCAGAAGTTTTATAAAATTAGAAAACTAATCATTGCTAAATTTTAAATAAGATCACATGTTTTTTTCCTTTTGTATCTGCTTTCAAAAAAATTAAGAACGAATTTTTTTATAAACAAGGTCAAAAAAGCAAAAAATTGATTTTACTGATCGAAATCATTTTCCAGACTACAAATACTAAAGATTCAGGCCCAAAATCCGGGCCAAAAATTTTTTTTGTTCTACATTTCAAAAGTTATTGGCGAACACAAAACGCTTCATCATTCAGTATAACTGGTCTCGAAGCCATGACATCATTAAAATAGATTTTAGTTGAAATTGTGCAAATAACTAAATACCTTAGTCATCAAAAATATAACTAAAGGCCGTGCAAATCTCAGAATGTTCCGGTCACCGTAGCTTAGGTGAAGCAACTAATTGATGACATATAAAAAAAAACAATTTTTTTCAATTAGTGATTTATATTTTTCAATTAGCTATTTGAATTATTATTTTTTAAATAATCTGACAAAAGGAGGTGAATATATGAGTTTAAAGTGATAAAATTATATAATTAGATGGGAACAGTTTTTTTGTCATTGGCTTAAGTTTATTTGAAAACGGAAAGTTCAAACATTTCATCCACAAGAAAACAATGTTGGCGTTTTTTGGTTGTTATTGATATTTCGAAAAAATTGTTTTTTTTTCTTGTGGAAAAAAATGTTTGAATTTTCCGTTTTCAAATAAACTTAAGCAAATGACAAAAAAAAGATCTTTGACAAAATCTAATCTCTCTGATTGTTTAAGGAAGCCCCTTCTGTTTTCTCATCTTCTGCAATCCCCATTAAGGTCAACAATATGAGTTATGACCGAGGTGGTTAACTCATAGAGTAATTTCGGATAGGGTACACCGTCTGCTCGTCACGCTATCTTATTTTCGGCCGGATAGATTCGTGCAACTTCTTAGTCTAATACCGATCCTAATCTTACTCTTATACTATCTAGTCTCAGGTTGTTTAACTAGTCTCTGCTAGGCTCAATAGATCTAGGGTATACTGGTTTATTGCGGCTGCTGAAGTTCTCTTGGAGAGCAACTAATTTCTAAGTTAAATTCAAATCTCTCTGGTGCTGAAATTACAAGTAATTTCAGCACTTACAAATAAGTGGGTTGTTAGTTAGATGGATCATGATTGGTTAATATTAAATACTTTACAGTGGTAAAATATCTAATTTATCCAATCATAAAATGTAGTTTAGATCAGGTTCCACCCATCCGGGTTTTACAGAGTTTTTTAGAATAGTCTTTCTACAATTCAAAGGATGGATGATGGACGTTGGTATTTGGCGAACATCATAATTCTTCTGGGTTCTCTTGTTAGAGAAGTTCCAGGTTCAATCGCTGTGTCTTCTCATGACAACGACTGGGTTTTCGCAACAAACTCAAATCTGATTTCAGAATGGTTGGCTATGACAG